TTCAACCTTCTTCTGTTTTCTTTCACTCTCCCTTCTCTTTCTTCTTCTCTCTGCAGGCGGACACGATATATGCGTGTTAGGGTCTTGCATCATGAACATTTCTCTATTTTCTTTCACTCTCCCTTCTCTTTCTTCTTCTCTCTTGTTTCACGCAGTGTCAACCATTGGCTGTTAGGGCAGACACGTTATATGCGTGTTAGGGCAGATACGATTCTCTTTCTCTGTTTTCTTCCACTCTCTCTTCTCTTTCTTCTTCTCTCTGCGGGCAGACACGTTATATGTGTGTTAGGGTAGATACGATTCTCTTGTCTCTGTTTTCTTTTACTCTCCCTTCTCTTTCTTCTTCTCTCTGCATGCAGACACGTTATATGCGTGTTAGGGCAAGGCTGAAACTTCTTCCTACCGCTATCTATACCCACTCGCCTTCATTTTCCCATACTTTCTACATTGCCAAGCACGTACAGAACATTTAAGAACACTCCACCCAACAACTTTTCCGGGAAAAGTTCTCCTTGAAAATCCTTCAAGTTCGTTCCTATAGAATGTAGTTCATGCATTTAGCCTTTGTCTTCTGTTATTTTGATCATGCAAACTAACTTAGCATGCACAATATGGAGATACACAAACACAGAATTTGGCATTATGCTTTTAAACTTGCAAGCTAAGTAACATTTGAGAGTTCTCGAAGGAGTAGCAATGTTTTCCAGCGAAAATGGTAGCAGAAAGTGAGGACGACTTCGAAATCGGATGATATAACTCAAGAATCTCAAGAGTAATCCAATTTTAACCTTGTCTTTTCATTTTCCCTTTAAATTGTTATCTTCACTCGTCTATACAACATTAATCAGATCAATGAATATGTATTGTATACTGTCAATGAAGATATAATCTATATACATGTAGGTATGTGTATCTGATAGGTCTGCAACTGTTTCTATATCTCCAGTTATCAGCGAGAATCAATTCAAGTGTCTCATTTGTTTTCCCAGTCACAAGAAATGAGCTGAATGCACTGATTTCATCTTCAACCTCTGGTTTTTCTTTTCAAAATATCTGCTGAACGCACTGGCAAAAACTTTTTCAAAATCAACCTCTGGGGATGAGGATCCCACGTTATCAGCCGAATCTGATCTATCTTCCCGATGCTTCAAATTTCCATCACATACTCTGACTTCAAATTGCTTCATTTGACTATGTAATTATGAGGAACGGTGATGGATTCTCATCAAGGTTTGGTCAAGAAGATGGGAGATTGATTTAAAATACTGTCAGATAGAACTGATTAAAGACAACAATTTCCATTTATTTCGGCAGAATATCATTGGGGCAGAGGAAGTAACGGGACACTCAGCTCCTGCGAGCATCCTGGTCACGGCGGAGCAAGTGAGATTCGAGAGACCAGAGGAAGAGGTTGTGCAGCGAAAGGCTGAAAGCAGAAAGCCACTTCGGCGTACTGTTCCGACGCGGAGAGAGGCAAGCTTTTCGGTAAGTCCCTTCTTTTACCAGTTCATAAATCCAGAAGTCGAAACAAATCACCCTTTGGATTTAGTATTTGTGACGAACAGGTTATGGTGTATGTATTTGCAGCTCATGGAGAAGAAACACCGTCACACCACGATCCAACATCATCATCCGCAACCGATAAGGTAAGATCAATTTAACATTCTTAACCCGGATATGAAATTTGTGCATCTAAATCCATACGGTAGATACTGTAGTTAGAGCGTAGGTTTAATGCTTCCTCATCATGGTGAGTTTTACGTAAGTTTGCGACATGGATGCACTGTACCTGTAAGGCATACCAGTGGGCGGTTGGGACCTGAAAGAAACCCCAGGGTGTTGAAGATGGGCTGAAAACCACACCCTGAATGGGCTAAACCCGATGCTAAGATCCTTAGCTAAGTCTAAATGGGCTATAAATTTACGTAAATAAACGAAAGACTCTTCACTAAATTGTGAAAAAGATTCCTGCGAGATTCTGATAAAGAAAATTGAAGAAATGATAAAGAATATTGAGTCACTCACATCTTCATATTGTTTGATTCATAGAGTCCCTGACAATCTTCGTAAACTAAATGAAGAAGCCTACACTCCTATGGCGGTGTACATTAGCCATTTTTCGCCATGGCGAGAAGAAAGAGTTTAAGCCATTGAAAATGTTAAGTTGAAATATTTGGAGAAAATCTATCAACGAACTAAAATCATCATACAGAAACTTGTCAATGCTGTAAAACAGAGAGAAGATAGAATCTGCAGTTGTTGTAAATAAATCATTAACAGAAGTAGTAACGGGTTAGCCAAGATCATTCTCGTCGATGTTGTATTTATCATTGTTTGCATTGTCCAAGCATATTACGGCATTGAAGGCAGACATGGTAGTTTTCTTGAGAGAAATTTTTTATTTTTCACTATTTTGTTTCACGATTTAATTTTAATGGAGAATCAATTTTTCTTCTTTTTCGTTAAAAACCTCTACGACTTAATCTTTCGATCTCACCCAAATCACAACCTCTTTATGTTTCTAGAAATTGTGTTTGTTCTTTGAATACTTCAACTGTTAGAAAGTAATCATCGGAAGAAAGTAGAGCATTTCACTGATATGATAATAGTATTTACTACACTGTTATTCACAAATTTGTCTTTAAAGAAAGGAAAAACTACAAGCAGAAACCTTCATAATATGGCACTGTTATGGAAGGCAAATGTGAGAATTGAGATAAGTCCTGGCACAAACTTACTGGATACAAAGTTTTTAAATAACAAACAAATAATTTCTATAAACTGAAAGAGGCTATTATTTGGGAGAGATAGAAAGATCAAGTTATAAAAAGTCTTGAAGAACAAATAAAGGATGTTTATTCTCCAGTAAAATCAAATTATCAATCAAAACATGAGAAAATTAAAAATTTCTCTAAAACAAACTAGCATGCCTGCCTTAAGTGCCATAATATGCTTGGACAGTGCAGACAATGACAAATACAACATCGACAAGAATGATCTTAGTCAACCCGTTGGTGCTTATGTTACTGGTTTTTGCATAGCAACTGCGGATTCTATTTTCTCTTTGTTTTACAGCAGTGACAGGTTCTCGGATTCTTTGTTCTCGAAGACTTTTATAATTTAATTTTTTTATCTCTTCGAAATCACAACTTCATTCAGTTTCTAAAAATTGTTTGTTTGTTTTTTAAATACTTCAACTCCCAAAGAATAATCATCGAAAGAGAAGTAAAGCACTTCACCGATATAATATGGACATTTCCCACATTATCATTCCCAAGTTTGTCTTTAAAGAAAGGAAAAACCATGAGTAAAAACCTTTACAGCATGACAGAGTTACAAGAGGCAGGGGTGAAGATTGAGTTGAATCCTAAAACAAACTTGCTGGATATAAAGTTTGATGAAGGAGTGCTCAAAATTCCTCATATTCAATTAGAAAACATTACGAAATCTTTAATTCAAAACCTAATGACTTTGGAGAAGTGTTACAATCAAGAAAACATGTATATCTGCGATTATATGTTGCTGATGGATGAGTTGATCAAGACTGTCAGAGATGTTGATTTACTTGTTGAGAAGATAAAGTGGCTCACCAGTTATTATATTTAACAAACGATGTCTTAGTGTTACTTTCAACAAGTACACCTTCTATACTAAGTTGTGAAGAGATTTAAAGACATGCTATGATCAACCTTAGCATAGTTAAAAAGCGATCTTGAAACATGAGTATTTCAAAAATCTTTTTAGATGTGTTTTCACCGTTGCCGCTGGGGTATTATTGGCTCTAACTTTCATTCAAACTATGTGTGCTATCATAAAAAATAAAAAGATATTTTATTTTACGATGTTAGCACACACAATTTGAATAAAATCTATAACCAGCAATACCTCAGCTGCAATGGTGAAAGCACCTTTCTAAGAAGTCCTGAAATACTCATGTTTCAGGATCGCCTCCAACCATGTTAA